GATCAACTGGGGGTATAGACCCCATCTCTTCCAAAAATCTTCCTCCTTTGTTAACCCCGTACGGCTGCAACGGTGCAGATCCGCCAGAAGGGTTAATCTAATATTCTCAAATGCCCTTTCCTTATATGCCTATATCGACGGGGAGGCTCCCTGTCTGCAACGCTCGTTCCTCCCAAGTCCACACCGCCCATAGTATTGTTGCTCGCAGGATCTCTGTTGCTAACATATCTTGTGACTGTCCTGTCCACCTTCATCAGCACCCCAAGGAGGATGCTTGCATCATCCATCTCGGTGACTTTCAATGGAGTCTTATCTGTCGCTCTTGCGCCCACCACTCCCAAAAAGCTCGTACAACAGGGCATCGTACAAAAATGTGAGGTACAATCCATTGTGCTGTGGTGACCGCCAGATGGTAAATTTGCCATAGCAGGCTTGCCCGTTTTTGATCAGGCAGCACTGCCAAAATGGCACATTGATTGTTCCACCTTTGATGGGTCCATCTGCTAAGGTACGTATCTGGAAGCCAGTCCCTTTTAGCCCATCTGTTCTTTAGTTTCCCGCAGATATCCACCGACTCCACCAGGGAGCTGTAGATGTTTTTGGTGGTGAGTTCCTGAAGCGACACTTCTTTCCTTTGCATGCCTTGCTCCGACTGTTCCCATTCCTTCGGGTCCCAGTCCAAATCTCGCCTTGTGGATGCTATCCGAAATAGTCGATGCTGGTTCTACCCTTTCTTCCTACATTCACATACCGCCACGGTCTCAATCTGGTTCCTGTGTAACCGTCTACAGGGAGGTCCATTCCCTAAGTTGATCTCTCGCAGGGCTCTCCCAACCCCTCGTATCCAGTGTTTACTTGCGAGCCTGTGACCTGCATTCCTGCTCCTTCTAGGACCTGCCCCACCCTGTACATTATTTGCGGTCTCTTCTCTTCTTTCATTTTCACCCATTCTCCGAGAGTGAAACAAAACCTTGGGGTGATGGATCCATCATTAAGGGGTGCGCCCCCTGGAGTTGCCACGGGTCAAGTGGCTTCCAGAAGTGGCCCCGGTCAGGTTACTGGGAATCATGTTGACGACATTAGGTAAGCCTGCATCGAATGATGAGTGGATCCTAAAGCCCACTTTAGCAAAGTTAGCTCACTAGAAAGACCAACACACCTCCCTAATCGGCAGGGTGCTGGCGATCAACAACCTTGTGTTGGCGGCCCTTTGGTATAAATCGGTAATTTGGGCTCTCAGTAAGGAGCCCGTCCGATCACTAAAGCAACAACTAACGACCCTGTTGTGGAGAGGCAACGATGAGCTTCCGAACGTTATTAGCAGGGCAGCGTGGTCATCGGTGATCCAACCCAGGGACAAGGGGGGACTTGGGGATTCTATACCCGGATACCCGGATCGCAACACTACTGGTTCAATGGGTTAAGAGACTGCTCTTCGGTCAACATCTCCCATGGTATGCCCTTGCGCTGGAACAGATAGTTGGACTTGCCCCACAGGCACCGCGGGTGTTAACCCGTTGACTTGGTTGGAAGACCGTTTTTGGAATGTGACACGGCGCCCTCGAGCCGGTCGAGACTCGAACCGAGACAAAATCCGCAAAGACTTGGTCAGGGATGAATTTTGGGTCCGGGTCTCGAGAGCCTGGCACCAACTTCCGCTGCCTGACACCCCCCCACCAACTAGGTGGGAGGAAGTGATGCGTCAGCCCCTTTTTGGGAATAGGAGGATTACAGACCGGTGCAGCAGGGTGTATTGCAGCTCAGACACCCTGTGGAGCAGCTGGGTCAAAAAAGGCATAATCGGAATAAAGGACATATGGGGCTCAGAGAAAGGGGACTGGAAAACAATGCCACAATTGAAGGTGATACTAAAGCATTGTCACAATGTTGAGGAGAACATTGAACTGTTGATCTTTGCTATCCCCCTAGACTGGGTGTGCATCCTGCACAAAGGGCCACGACTGGCAGAAGGGGACTGGGTGACTGCTCCGGGTGACCCAGAAAGTGTAGGAAATGCGGTGGAGGCACGAACAGATGAAACACTTAACCTCTTCCATATAGGCAAGGATAATGTTCTCACTCGGTACCCCCTAGAGGTGATGAGATGGTGGAGAAGTGCGGATCTGCATAGGATTCACGTGCTGCAGGATAAGGATGTATGGATCGCATACCAGCCAAATACCCCAGTGGCAGAGCTCCCCTTTGACCCCGAGGAGTGGCAGTGGGCCCCCCCACAAAAAGTCAGTGGGGGAGAATGCAAAGTTGTATAACTTATCTGTGAAGGCTACGTACCGTCTGCTGTGACCAAAGGTTAACATAAAAGAAACGGTGAAGAATCGATGGAGGTCCCATTTGAATGTAGGGATTGAGGTGATACGCCCTATCCGATGGTTCACCGTCACAAGGTCTAGGCCAGCAAAGATGGCCTCGTTGCAGTGGCAGATAGAACATCACTGCCTACCCACCAACGACTGGCTGATAGATCGTAACCTATCTAGAGCAGAAGGGGTGGGCGCTACCATGGTGTAAATCGTGCCACATTGTCTTCCCCCCCGTAGAATTCCGGAAACCGTAGAGCACATATTCATGCAGTGTCCGGGGGCAGTTCTTACATGGCGATGGTGGGATAGGATCTGGACCCTGTTGGGCACTGGGTCCAAGTGGCCTTGGGACTGGAGGGCCATACTATGCGAGGCATGGACCTCCCCCACAGACAACCCTTCTGAAAATAACATGTTCAAGATAGGGAGGAGAGCTGTCATGCGGACCCTCTGGAGGAAGCATTGTATACATGCCATAGAGGGCGTCCGCATAGCTGGGGAAGAGGCAACGAACATGATAAAACAATATGTTCAACAAGAACTCACTGTGCAGTGGCAAAAAATTTAAAACCAACTGGATTTGTCTCACTCATCCAAAGATATAATACAAGCAATTCATCAATGCTCTGGGGACTGGTTGGGCAGTGAGAACGGGGGCTGGATTGCCTCCGTCCGATGGAACGGCAGGCCTGCCCAGGAATGTAACCAGGAAGAGTTCAGGAAAGACTACTGTATTTGCTTCAGGGACTGGACTACGGTGGGCCAGAGGATCCCGCTGCTACCATCCACAGAAGTTCCCGACCCCTTCCCGCTCCACCAGTTGGCAATGGTGGACATGCAATGGTATGGAGCAGATTGAGCAAGATCACAGGTCGAAGGGACCAAGTAAGGACGGGGCAGGTCTACAAGCAGGACATGGAAGACGTCTGAGTCATATTGAACAAGCGCTATAGGGCGGGCTGGTAGCTGGTCATGGGAGGTGGTGCTTGCAGAAGAAGTGGGGCATAGCCGTCTGGTGCAGGCTGAAGAGGCGGCCACTCGCCCCAAAGTGTGCTCTACTCCAACACATCTATCATTAACCCTGCGCAGTCAATCCCCTGGAAACAGGGCAATCAATGCTGGCAGGCCTTCTGATGTATAGTGGGACGCTGGACCGGCTTTCCGGCAGGTGCTGCTCCCCACCAATAGACCGGAGCACCCAGGACTCTTGCTAGGAGGGAGTGCTCGTACCACCTCTCCTAGCAAAGACACTGGTTCTTTTAATAGTAATAATATTATAATAAATTATCCTTTCTTAGAATATCAATCCACCCCGGGGGGATGGCTTCCCTGACTTCGTCCATCCTCTGCTGTCTTCTCATGCAGCCATGCAGGGAGTCCATCAATTCTGCATTCTGTTTCAGACCCTTCCATAAAATTTGTAGCTGTATATATTGAGTTTGTGCTTCCAATGTATAAGTTTGATGAAAATGAAACCCACATTTTGAGCTTTGTACCAGGCTCAAGTCCGATTGTCTTCAAGCAACTGTCCCAGTGAGTCCATGTAGCGCATATGGTAAAATATTTCCTTAGTAAATGAAAGACCTCGACGAACTATTGAAAATAACCTCCATGATAAAGTGGGTTCAAATATGAACACCATGTATATGTGGTAGCATACACCACAATATGAAAATTTCTACCCTTTTTATATCTTCTTTCTTATGGTACATAATGAGAAGAATAGACTTATTCATTTTTATAATAACACTGTTTTCATTTTTATGCAACATTTAGTTGTAACTTGTAAGCATATTTATTTATATAACGCATCAACAAGCCAAACCACACGACACACAAGCAAAATGCATGGGAAGACAAGGCACACAGACGGGCAGCAAGGCAACAATGCAACGAAGCACAAGGCGAAGTGGGATGGACAGCAAGGCAGCGGCGAAGCACAGACAAGGCAGTCCACACATCCAACAAGGAGCAAAGCAGTACATCACCTACTCACACCATAAGCGAACCCTGTCGACTGTTGGTTCCTACCACCCGCTGAGCCAGGGAGTCACTCCAACGAACGCCCATCATCACCCTGAAAGTCACACACACACACCCTAAGAGTGCTGCAGGCACTCCAAACACGAAGACACCGACTATTTGGCACTGCTTAGAGGTGCTCCCTTGAACACACAAAGAGTACTTACGAAACAACAGGAAGAATGACATATATAGAAAACAACAAAAAAGGCAGACAAACAAACTGAAAGAAGGACGTACATAACTGATTGTGTGTGTGTGTGTGTGTGTGGGGGGGGGGGGGGGGGGGGGGGGGGGGGGGGGGGGGGGGGGGGGGGGGGGGGTAAGATAATAAGACCCCAGCACGGATGCTTCACACCAGACGACCTTCAAAACAGCTCATCGCAAAGTGTACTTGGAAAAAATTGGAAGAAAGCATACAAAAAAAGAAAGACAAACATACATACATACATAAAACTGATTGTGTGTGTGTGTGTGTGTGTGTGTGTGTGTGTGTGTGGGTGTGTGGGTGTGTGTGTGAGAGAGAGAGAGAGCGAGAGCGAGAGAGAGGGAGGCAAATCACCAGGGACTGAAGGAGTGTGGTGGTCGTTCCCTGCTGACATGTGTGCATTCCACTGTGAGACACTTAACTCGAGCCTTTGTATGTGTTGTCTGCAGAACAACAACCAAACTATCAACCATGGCGGAGGAAATGCAGAAGATGGAGGCACTCCAAAGAATGTTCGTCACGTTTTGCTCTTTCGGAACGTCAAAGAAATTGGAGGAAATGGATGGCGCCAAGTTTGCCAAGTTTTGTCGTGATGCAGGTATCATTGACAAAAAATGCACACCGACAGACGTGGATCTTATCTACACCAAGATCAAGGGCAAGGTGCGCTTATATGTTTGGCTGGCTGCTCTCTCTCTCGTTCTCTCTCTCTCTCTCTCTCTCTCTCTCTCTCTCTCTCTCTCTCTCTCTCTCTCTCTCTCTTTCTTTTTCTCTCTCTCTCTCTCTCTCTGTGTGGCATGTCTGCCCGTCCAGGTGTTGGCCCCCCTCTCTCTGTCTTTCTCTCTTTTTTATGTTCGCACACTGTGTGTGTGTACGTGCACAAGCATACGTGATTCTTCACACGAGAATGATGTGCACCTATCAGTGATGTAAAGCTACACATCCTTTCCAGATCTGCAAGGGCAAAAGGGAACTTCGCTTCTATGGTGAGACATGAAGATCACCACCGATGCCTTGTGCGGAATATAAGAAAGAGGAATGAACAATTGCGGACGACAGTGTGTATCACAGAGTCTCCACCACCGACCAGTCCGTCTGTTGTTGTGATACGGTGGATGTTCCCAGTGGGCGATCAGTGGGGAGCTTAGCTGCATGGCCATTGGAAGTTGAAGCGACTGTCTTCCACGAGCACGGGGAGCATTGCCTTCTGGTAGTGTAGCTACTGTAACTCCACTGGCTGAGGTAGAAAAGTGGATGTCGCATTACCACGGGCATTATGTTGTTGACCAGCCCGTCTATTCGGTGCCATATGATGCTGTTTCCCCTCCTTCTCAACCCCTTTATCCAGATTGGCATTGTCCAGATTAGCATTATCCAGACTGAGATGGGGAGCAAGTGGGAATTACAGGCAGGAAACTCTGCTCACAAGCTGATGCGCAGGAAGCAACCCTTTTGGTTGAGATGAAAGCGCACCTCCATTACTGCTGCACCAGCATTGCAGCGGGGGCAGGAATGGGGTGATGTTTGCTTTCCACGGGGGGAGGGAGGGAGAGGGGGATGGGGGAGATGGGAGAGTGAAAAGATGGTGTGGCAGGAGTGGGGTGTTGATTGTTTTCCACGGGGGGAAGGGAGGGAGAGGGGGATGGGGGAGATGGGAGAGTGAAAAGATGGTGTATGCAAACCAACTTGAAGAGCGCTCTGATGTAAAAAAAAAAAAGAAAGCAGTTTGACGCTCAGTAATCGAGGATATCCCATTCAGGTGACGGCCTCGAAAGCTCTCCTTGAGTGGCAGACACATCTAGGTACCCCCGGTCGGCAACTACTCACCTTCGTGCCATAGCCACCCTCACGTGACCATCCTAGATGGTAATCATATGTCCCCGCCCCTACCCACTCACAATGCCTCTCATCCTCACCCAATCACTAGCTTCGTAGTTGCTCATTCGGTGCATGTTATCTTCCACTTCCTGTTCATTTTCATAGTTATATGGCACCTATTTCCCCCCCCTTACTGGACTTCCTCCGTGGTACCTATTTTTGCTCTTATCGCTCTTTCGCCCATATGGTGTTACTAGTACCTATCGAATATCGATCCCACCCCTTGCAATAGCTGTGGTTGCTATTTATGGGTTCTCTCTCTCCAAAGATCTTACTTCACATACAGAGGTCCTCTCCACGATTCCCTACCCTCATTGCCTCTAACAGTGAGTCGCCTGAGGTGCATTTCATGCCTATGGAGGACAACTATACCCCAGCGGGCCCCTATACGTAGGAAGGTGACCCTCCCCCAGCGAAGCCCCATATACCTAACCCTATGCAAGGCACACGTGAAACTCCCCTGGTTGTTGTCAGCAGTGCATGGACTTCCACGGTCCTAACTGGGGAGTACCCTAACCCGGTGCCCTAGTAGGTGCCGCTACCAACCGATGCTAACTTACCGATAACTCAAATCCCCTTCTCCAACCCATCTGCCCTGGGCGTGCAGATTGCCACGTGCATTCTGGCCGAGTCATTTATGAGGCAAAGTACAGAGGCATTCAGTCAACAGACCTCCCCCGTTACACTTCCCCACTGCTCCCCCCTTCTCTCTCCCCTCTCCCTTGCCCTGCTGACAATTTCGAAAGAACTTTGTATACCAACCGCCAACCAACCAACCAACCCACCCACCAACCGACCGACCTACCAACCGACCCACTGACCGACCCACCGACCCACTGACCCACTGACCCACCGAAAGGCCCACCGACTGACCCGCCGAGCGACCCACCGGCCAGCCTGCCCACCCACCCACCTGCCCGCCTCACCTACCAACCCCTCAGTCAAGGGAGGAGAGGAAAGAGAAGGCGTGCTAGTTCTCACACCTCTTTCTTTCTTTGTCTTTCTCTCTTTTGTTCTTTGGTTGCGTAAGGGATACATTTTTCTTTTCTATTCTTTTAATTTTTTAATTTTTTTTTAACTTTTTTTTCTTTCCTTTTCTTTTTGCTTCTTTTTCTTAATATAAAAAAATTCAAAAAAAAAAAAAAAAACATAGACTTATGGTTTCGGCTCCTTGTCCATTCTGGCGGCGTCAGTCCGGTTCCTATTCCGCCAGCAAGTCAAGTAGAATACAATGAGTACACACTCCAAAGCTTCTCCCCATATGGTTGAGCGATCCAAGCTGGCAGCATTGATTACTTCTCTTGGAAGGATTTACCAACCCTCACCCCTGCCTAAGTTAGCTCCTAAGTTGAGCTACTCTTTTGATCCTGCTGTTGCCTGTCCTCTTTCTGTTCTCACCTGTGTTTGAACTCTCTTTCCTATAAAATGCTATAGCTCGTAGTCCTGTCTGGAGTCTCTTGTTTCCCCTTCCCTGTTTGCCGTATGGAGAACCCACTGCATGCTCCTCTCTACTTGCTCTCCTAGGCTCTGTATCTCCCTGGGCTCCATGTGTCCCCGATCTGATCTGCTTTCCTTGCTCCCCATTTGAACTTGATCCAGTTGGCTTCCAGCTTAGCCAGTTTCCCTTCCCCCAATACACTTTTTTCCCTCGCTTTTTCCATGTTCCCTGTCCTTCTTTCTAGCTTTCTTCCATGGCGCTGTGATCTCCTTTTGCAGCAGGCTCTTAAACCGCAAGTACACGGCCCCAGCCTTGCAGAAAGCTTTTTGTGGCCACAAGCAAAACTCGGAGGGGCCGTGCGGCGTGGGGCGCCGTTGGAAAAAAAAATCGACGGCCTCGGAAGTGGTGCGGGTTTCGTGCTGACACCCGCGGGCCAATGTGTGGTGTACTGGTGCTTTAAAATCCTCTTCCACTTCCACCTCCCCTATGTATACTGCCTTCTGTTTGATCGCCTCCTGGCATCTGCGCTTCCAGACTATCCACAAGGACCACAAGGTCCACAACCCATATTGCCTTAGGCTCTGAAAGCAGCTGCGGTCAAAGTTTCAATCTGAGTTGCGTTTGAGTAGAAGGGTTGAGTTCCTCGGTAGTATCGACGAGGAGATGTTGGGGGGAAGGTGATTGCGCCATGATATGTAATTCCATTTAGAAGTCTTTTCTCGCGGTCAGAGCTGGCCAACGATTTTGGAGTGTGTATTCCTAACAGCAGTGTGGCAGGATTCTCTGGGAAGGGAGTGGTACTGTGGTAGTAATCTCTTGCCATAGTTCTCTCTCTGACCACCTGCCAAGTTTGCTTTGCCTTTTGGCAATGTAGTCAATAGTGACTCACTGTCTCATTTTCCCCTTCTTTGCAGATGACACAGTTCTCCCCTTGTGGTGTTCTGTTTTCCTTTCTTCTGCGCCTGTTAAGCCATTTTCATTCACTGGCAGGGCTAAGCACATGCACAGCCGCTGTAGACTTCCGGCGAAATTTTCGCATGTCTGACGTCCTGATCCCATCTTGTTCCGCAATCTTCTCTCCGAATCTGTTTCTGGGCCTTGTGAACGCATTGTGAGGTTTTGGCCCAGTTTCATTGTATAATGGACGATGTTAGCTCTCCCAGCCACACCCATCTTTCGTCCTCTTCGATTCCATGCCCACTCCACCGGATCTATCTCCAAGTTCTCTACTGCCACTGCCGGGCAATAGATGGTAAGTTCGTCGTCTTCCACGACCCTCATACGTGGGTACCTGGGTCTTCTCTTATGGATACCTGGGTCTTTGTTTCCTTGTCAATGGTGCTTGTTGTGCATCCTGGTTCCTTTATCTCATACGTATCCGTGCACAGCTAGGTAGTTTCCTGTCGGCCTCGCCTGCCCGTCGACCTGAGAAGCTTCCTTTGGCACTTCCTCATTCCTTCATGTTACCCATTCTCCTCCTGTCCACTTGGGATCCTTCTTCAGTAAAGTGAGCCAATCTTCCGGGATAATATATATTAGACGACATTTAGGTTTTCTAATAACATATGAGTCCCCTTTAGTTCCTTTCTCAGCTCTCTAGCTGTTTTCCAACGCTTCCCCGCCTCCGACCATAAGTGCTTCACCTGCCATATTCCATGCTGGACTCACGATCCCGATCTGGAGTCTTGAGCTGTTGATGTCCTTGGCTTCCCCTTTGCATCCTTTAGCTATTGGTTGTAGAATAGTGGTCGCCTCAACACTTCCTCCCTTGTTGTCAGTCTGCTGGTCTTCTGAGTCATTACTTACATTTCCTTTCTGTCCTCCCATCTTTGCCCATGATTTAGACATTGTCGGGGTCTTGTGCTTATCTATTCCTCTAATCCTCTCCAATGCTAGGGGTACCATGACAATTTGTGTTTGCTGAGCAGCTTAATGAACCCCTTGGTCTGTAAAGCCTTAATCTGGAGTTCGGGGTCTATAATTCCCAGGCGCCCTTTACCTTTTTCCTTATGACATATCCCCAAGCTACTTTCCTTATGAAGTGTTGCCTTTGGATTAGCTATCCAGAGATAGCCGATGCCTTTCTTCTTAAGTTCTTTGTCAATTTAGAAGGTGGACTCCACATTGTTGCTTTATATCAAAGCATCGAAAATAGAGATGCATTCATGATCATTGTTTTCCCATACAGTGACGTGTAAATTGCTGACCTCGCTCCCAATTTAGTTAGGATTTTTGCCAGTACTTCAAGTGCCATTGAGTGTAATGGGAGAATCCATTGCTAGTGGTCCCCAATGCAGGGTTCATGGCATGAAGATTTCTTTTTCTTATCTTTTCTTTTCTTTAATTTTTTCTATGTGAAGGAACATGAATTGACATACTATTGGTCCCCAATGTAGGGTTCACAGCGTGAAGATTTCCTTCCCCTCTCCCTGCCTTTCCCCTCCAAGTTGGACTCCACCGCAGTGTTGCAGGATAGGGAATTTCCTTGAAGGCAATACATATGCGATCTTTCCGAACAAAATAGTAGTCCAGTTCTCTTTTGAATCCACTCAATCCATTTGCTGCAGCCAAGGTCATATTAATGCAATATATCCACCAACAAAATAATAGTTCCTCGCCCCTCCCGTTGTTTGCTTTCACTCTGTCAGTCAGATGCAACTAGATGAGTTCTCTAGGTACAAACGAATGGTGTGGTTGAGCGTTCAGGGTTTTAGGGCCTAAGATTTGATGAGGGCTTATAGTGCAGGGCTTAGGGTTTAGGCTTTAAGCTATATGAGGAGTTGACATCAAGGGTTAGGGTTCACAGTGGGCAAGATTCCACAAGCAGGCGGAAACTTTTCCCAAGTCCCGCAGGCAAGCACTTCCTGCCTGGAAAAGAAAGAAAAAAAAAGGGTTGTTGCCACATAGTTGTCCTCGGGGCTTAAACACAATTCGCTCCTCACTGTGCACTCCAATTCTGTGGCCAGCTGGAGGAGGTAGGGGGGGGAAGGGGGGGAGGGGGTGAAAGTCTTGGAATGCATAGTGATGCCCAGTGAATAGTGTTCAAGGGGCGCACAGTTCATTCAATAGCTCCCATTGTGTACCATCCTTTTCGGGAAGCGATGGGACAGGCTTTCCCCAAGAAAATGGACCTTGTGGGAGAACATATAGTGTGGAACTGTTGGATACCATTGACAAGCGGGCCATCGGGGCCGACCGGAAATCCGCACAGGGCATGGCCTGTGAGGTTTTAAAGGCGCACGCCAGTGGAATCTTGCTCTCAGGGCTTAAGGTTCTTGGGTTTGGGGGGTTAGGGTTCTGGATTTTAGGCTCTTAGGTTCAAGAGTTTGACATCTTAAGGCTCATAGATTTGGACTCAGCGTTTTGTATCCTGGGTTTACGATCTTTAATTATCGACGCCTTAGGGTCTAGGGTTTAGGGTTTAAGGTTTTGGATAGGGATCTTTGGTTATGAATACACTCCTGATCTTCCATTATGGACAGATCAGAGTCTAGGGTTTAGGGTTTAAGGTTTTGGATAGGGATCTTTGGTTATGAATACACTATGGATCTTCCATTATGGACAGATCAGAGTCTGGGATCGTTGGCTATGGATACGTTGAGGATTTTAGGGTCTTAGGTTTGAGGTTGTATATCGTAGGGTTTAGGGTTTCTTGTGTTTGGGGTTTAGGGTTTAGGCTTAGGGCTTTCGGTTTTGGGGTTTTGGGGTTTGGGGGGTTTAGGGTCTTAGGGTTTGTTTTGCAGGTTCGACATCTTAAGATTTGGATTTTTGGGCTTGGGGTTTTATGCTTGGGTTTTTGGATCTTTCGTCACGATCGCTTAGGGTTTCGGATTCACCATCTCATGTCTTTAGGGTTACATATACATTTGAGATATTCATTTCTTTCCCCCCCTCCTTATCTGTTCGTTCGCAAGGTAATTTCAAGCAGTCTCTTTTCAAAGTTCTTTTCATCGTCCCCTTGCACTACAGCTTCGCTATGGGTCCCTCGCACATATTTAGACTTAGATGGGACTTACTGCCCGATTGGGGCTGCATTCCCAAACAACACGACTCTTCGACAACGCCTCATTGTGCGGCTGGGGGATCTTCGTTTATGGGTACATTTGGGTTTGGGACCTTCGGCTAGAAATACATTAGGGGGTGGTGGGATCTTCGGCTACAAAGACATTTAGGATCTTTGGCTACAAATACCTTAGGGTTTGGGGTCTTCGGCTACAAATACCTTAGAGTTTGAGATCTTCAGCTACAAATCCATTAGGGTTTGGGATCTGTGACTACAAATACATTAGGGTTTGGGATCTTTGGCTACAAATACATCAGAGTTGGGATCTGCAGCTACAAATACATAAGGGTTTGGGATCTTCAGCTTCAAGTACTCTTCAATACCCCAGTCATCAACTGGTCAATCAATACAGTTGCCACCAACTTGGGTTGCAGAGTAGATTGTACAGCCCCCAATGGTTGTGTGCATCAATTCGAAGGTTTTGGCGATTGCTAGGCATCAAGGGAGCTTAGTGGCTTAGTGTCTCCCCTCCCGGATCAACTCCCACTTTACCGTCTTCCCCCGAATACAACACACCTGATAACGAATGTATACGAGCTACTTTCTGGTTCGGTGCAGCCAAAATGAGGTTTCGTTATATTCGGGGGAAGACGGTAGGGGGATCCACCCAAGCCTATCAGACGTCAGCCCTACTCTAAACTACACTAAGAGCGTCCATTCATCACGAAAACAACTCAAAAGATGGAGCCCTTGTTGCAGCATGACTTAGAAAGCATGGTAGGCTAGAGCAGCTGAAGAAGCAGAGACTTTTGTTTAGGTAATGTAGAATCGAGCAAAGGGCGATTACCAAGCATCCAAACATTTTGCATCCATGCAGCCACAGAACCAGGGGCATCCATTGGTCAAACAAGCACTTACCTGGACCAGTAAAGTCACTCATGAGGCAGAACCTCCTTCTAACCAATCTGCATTACCTCCAAATCCGCCAAGTAGCACCATGTGTAATGACCCGCGAAAACACAGACTGAGAACACTGCTGATTTCTGAGATTTGCCGCTGGGATGAATGCCTTGCTGAGATTCCCGCATTCTGCTGTGGTTTCCAAGTCTGTGTGTGTGTGCGTGCATGCTGGTTTGCGTGCCTGTCTGAGTGCTTGTCGGCTGAGTGTGTGTGTGTGACCCGCAAGGGTACTTGTTGGATGAAAGGCCCCGCAGGGCCGGTACTTACCTGTGGCCGTGACTTTGAGGGTTGCAGCGGGGAAAACACTCAAGTAGCGGGGGTAGGCCCGCGACACTTAGAGCAGCGGGAAAAACACTCAAGCAGCAGGTAGGCCGGTACCACTCAAGTAGTGGTAGAAGTGTCGGGTACTGGAGGCCGAGCAGAAGAAGACAAAAAGTTGGCATTTTTAGAGGACCAATAGCGGTAGGTTAGAGGTAGGCCGGTACCAGTCAAAGTAGCCCGAGTCTAGGGCCTGCCCGGACGATAGCAGAGCCTTCAATAATGTTTCCCTCCGAAAGGGAGGAGGTACCGGTTGCTGGGAGGCCGCTCGGCCTAGGAAGTCACCGCCCAAGAGCCCAGTAGGCCGCTATATCTTCCAGAGGAGCAAGCAGCTCCTCCTCATTTGTGGTATGCAAGGATTGGCGACATGCTGCTGGAGCCAAGCGCTGGACTTGGGCAGCGCTGCCTGGAGGTGACGAGCAGCTGGGCGCTCAGCCTGGCTATGGCGAGCAGCCCAGCCTGAGGAGGAGGAAGAAGGGGGCGAAGGAGGAGAGTGGCGAGGTACCTACCTGGCTATGTTGGACACCATCTTCATCACCTTGTTGGGCGCTGCATCTGGAAGGCCCCAGTTGGGGTAGTGCCACACCAAGGAAGCCCGAGGCAGAGTCAGGCATGGCGGCTTAGTCAGCAGCGGCATAGCTGCTTTGGGTTGTCCTTTGGACAGGAGTGCAGCGACATAGCTGCTTTGTGTTGTCCTTTGCACAGGAGGGCAGAGCCCTAAGTAGTCCGCCATAGCCTAGGCATGTGAAAGGTGGAAGAAGGGGGGAAGCCATGGCTATGGTGGACCTGTTGTTGTGTCAGCAGTAAGAGGGAACTTCGGACATTGATTCTGGTTCATCCACTCGTTGTTATTATTATTATTGGAAGAAGAATAAGATTGGCGAAGTGAAGGAGGAGCAGGAAGGTGGAGAGAGAAGGGGGATTTGTCATTGGTCTTGCTGGTGTACATCTTCTTCCTTTTCTTCTTCTTCTTCTTCTTCTTCTTCTTCTTCTTCTTTCTCTCTTCTTCGGTCTCTATCTCTTTGCAAGTGCTTTCATTTCTTTCGCAATTGAGTGGCATTGTCTTTCATTGTGAATTTGCACTTTGGGAATGGCCGGGATCGTAACAATTGGTATTGGAGTGGAGTTACTTGCTGGCGAGAGGTGTTAGTCACCCTAAACCTAATTCCGAATTGGTTAGGGCTAACCTAATCTCGGATTAGGGTTGGAAGTTAGGGTTAAGAGGGGCAGTGAGGTATGTGGATACTGCCCCCACCTGGTTAGGTCATGTAGGGTCGACATCAGACCTGACCAGGTTGCTTGTGTGATTGAATGGGGTGGCGAGACACAAAGGAGGCTGATTGGAGTAAGCGAGAGGGAGCAGAGAGTGAGAGGTACTCGCACTTGGAATCTGCACTTCAAGAAGACATTGAGTGACTTTTGGGCTTCCCCTCAAGAGGGAGACTTGATCGGAGGCTGCCATATCTGCATCAAAGAGCTGCAAGTTGCTACTTTGGTCTTCAGACATCGACGGAGGATCCGGCGTTGTAACAGGGGTGTTGGGAGGCCCTCTTAGTCATGCTAGGACACTTCGTGTAGTGGTAGCTAGGGGTCAGGAGGACCTATGAGAGAGGCGAGTGAGTCGTTATCCATCTTTGGAGCCCGGGCCTCACAGGTAAGTGTCGGGTGACTTGGTTATGCCCGTGGGAGGTTGCTTGGTGCTTCATGGCCTGTTGGGGTGTGCTGGGCTCTCTTCCTCTTCTCTGCGGTCTTGGTTGTGTGTGTGAGCATGTGGATTGCTTTTTCACCTGATGGATGGATGGATGATGTATCTTGTTCTCGATGACATATCTTTCTACGGTGCATTGTCTTTTCACTTCTGAACGGCTGTAGGGGTAAGTTCTTGCTGAAAGTTGTCTTTCCCTTTTCAGTACAGTAGAGGCAGTTTGGGACTGACTTGGTACACCTATCTCGTTGGTCCTGGTCCACGACCTACTTGGGACCTTCGGGACTCAGTGGGACCAGGCCCAATGGGACAGGACCTTTAGGACCCAAATCTATTGCTGTCTATGCATCTCTTTGCTGTGCTGAATTTGGTGGACACACGGCTAGTAAGGACATTCCTTTCAAGGGGATCTTGAGTGGTCTTACTGCATGTTCTCACATACTGCCCCGCGTCTGGCTCGATGACCGTCTGCACCCCTCGAAATCTCCATTGCTGCATGCAGTTAGTTTTCTTCGGCTGACTTATTGTGGTGCATGTTCCTTGTCAGGTTAGACAAGAGGGGATCTCCAACTAATCTGATGGGGCCCGTTCGTTAAGTCGGTCCTCTCTTTTTTTATTTGTTTTTATTTAATTATTTATTTTTTTCTGTTGCATGAATGCCATTCTCTAAGTCCAATAAATTGTCGCTCCGGCTAGGAGTTCTACCTTCTGCTCTCTGTGATTTATCTGTTTTTTTTCCCTTTATCTGAACTACCTATGTCCAGCATTGAGACGCGTGCACAAAAAGCGGAAAGAGAGAGAAGGGAGAGTGAAGGTATTCTTTTTGAGAGTGTGGGGAGGGGTAAGAGGAGTGTTCGTCCAAACGTAAGCAAAGTGCGGACCCGTCTTGAGAGATCTATTGACACCCCATCCTCCAGCATGGCAGACATCACATCCGAGCAATGGAAGGCCATGCTGGACGCAGCGGCCGAGAGCGAGAAACCTTTCTTTCAGAAACTTTATGAGGACGCAATGCACAGAGAGAGGGAGGCAGAGGCAGCAGCCAAAGCCACAAGTATTGCTACACAAATGACCCTCCTCCAGGTTCCGGAATCTAGTGATGACCGGTTCCAAGAGAAGCTAGCTGCTGCTGTAGCAGCCTTGGTTCAACTGCGGACCTTGGAAGATCTTGAGTCCCGTGTGACAGCTCTAGAGCAGCGGAACCAAGAGCTGCAAGCTGAGATAGTCAGCCTCAAACAGTCCCAACTGTCTGCCCCCCGTCCTCCTAATCCTCGACCTGTTGCAGTCCCAGTCTCTCACCCTAACACAGTCCTCATGTCGAGAGCAAGTGGAACTGTGTCGAGTGCAGGAACCGGTGCCAGCTCCTCAAGCTGCAGCGC